TTAATTTAGATACAAGAGCAAATATTTTTAAATATTTTTTGGAAAGGTGGCTAAATCAAAAAAATTGCAAAATTGCAACTGCTTTTAATAAATAAATTATACAACTAAAAATTGATTCAATGACGTTTATATGCCGTAAAAGCTAATAAATGAATTTGAGCGGAGGGAAGAGAGGTATTTATATAATTGCGACAGTTTGGGGCAAGGAAGTGAGACGGGGTTACAGAAATTGTTAAATTAAATAAACAAAAATGCGCCATTATTTAAATAGATTATTTTAACTATCTACAATTACCTTAAAGATATCCTGGTACTGTCATCTGGTGTGTAAAATGAGAACTAAAATGTTTTCCGGACAAACGAAATGAATTAGTTTTATTCTCATTGGCGCGTAACTACTAAACACTCCAGCCCTTCAATATCACGGGAGCGAGAAATAGAGGGCGAAACTTCACCCCGTCATTTTCACGGGAGCGAGAAGGAAAGCTAACAAGAAACACATTAAGTTAAAAATTTAAACTAATTAATCCATTTTTAAAATTTTTTTTTTTCAAATGTTTCAGAGTACTTTCTTACGCATTTACGAAACATTTTTTTGTACAAGAAAGGCATTTTTTACACACTAAATAAAGATGAATCCAAATCGAACAATGATCACAATCCTGATAGTAACAAATAAGTACATCAAACTTAAGTAAGAGAAATCAAAATATGCTGTAGTTAACATCATTATTTTCACCTTTTGAGAAGTTTCTAATGATGATTGTTTCAAAGTTTCATACGCTATGTTTGAATTAATAAATTTAGTTATTTATTTTTTTAAATAAGAAATGTAAGCTATACATAGATGAACAGTTTTATTTCAAATAAAATTAAAAATGCATTTTTCAGAAGATGGTCATAACTCGAAATGCGTGTTTTAGAAAATTATCACAACTCAAAATTCGCGCTTAAGAAAATGAACATAGATTCATTATGCACGTTTTAAAAATATGAGTGTTTGTGAAAATGGGCATATCTAAAAATGCGTATTTGAAAAGATACTTCTTAAAAAATACTTAGAGTACTTATGTAAAGAAATGGACACAACTTGAAATGTCCGTTTTACGCATTTCAGATTCGAAACCCATACTTTAGCTGAATTTTACGTAATAAGGTTTTTTAATCAGTTATGTAGTGGCAAATATTTCAGGACGAGACGCTAAAAATACCATCATTACTTGCAATTTTTTTTTCTTCAAAATAAAATGCCAAAATATTTGTTTTTTTTAAAAACAGTCTTTGGTTTAAAATTCTGTAATTTATATATCACCATTTGAGGTTTTCTACATTCGTTTTAAATCAGTAACATAATGTTATGCTAAATAGGATGACCTTTCGATGAAATCGATGACCTTTTACTTTTTAAACATCTTTTAAGAAAGCAACAAAGAAAGTTACTGTAACAAACAATTGAACAACAATCGAAAATAAAAGAAGTGAGAAAAAAATTGGAGAAATAAGCAAATTTTTAATGAACAAAAAAATACACTTAAAAAAACTGTTTAATTGACGAAAAATTGGATTTTTCCAAAAAAATAAATAAATAAATAAAAATAGAGGACTAATTTACTTTTCCGCATACCTCTTCGTCTACACCCCCGGATATTTAACAAATTATGTAACTTTCCGAAATAGATCTTATGTGGAATTGACAAAAAAAATGGGACTTTTTTTTTTTGAGAATCCAGCTGTACGCAGTTTCCCCGCTTACCTTTTTCCACTAAAACCCTGGTAAACAATGTTATTTCAAAACGGATCTTATTTAGAATTGACGAAAAAATGGTAAACTTTTTTAAAAATACCAGATTGGGTAAGTTGCGTCGCTATTCCCTCTCATAAACTCGTAACAATGTTAGTTTTAAAAAATATATTTTGGTCGTGCGGCCGTTGGTTTTGAATCTCTCTCTCTCTCACACTCTCAGTGGGAAAAGTTTTAAAAATCCTAGTCTACGCACTTTGATCCAGTGGATTCGGGATCCTGCAGATGTAACGAAAATGTTAAGTTTTTGAGTGCTGCGAACATTGCCTTGCTGAAAAAAGAGGTAGGAAATTTATGCTTAAAAAAGAGGACATATTTATTTTCAATTATTAAAATTGTCACCTTTATGACAAAAAAAATCGCAATTTAATGATTTCAGATCGATTAAAGATATTTATGCCAAGAATATGCACTAATAGAGACAGAACGTATTAATTTTGCTGTATGATTGCTGGAGAATTAAGTTACCACTCTTAATCTGTCTGAAAAGAGAACGTGTTTATTAAATGGTAGTGGGTTAGAAACCATTATTTTATGAGTTTTGAATAAAAAAAAATTTATTACATAAGGGCATGAAAATTTAAATAATAAACTAATAGTTATAATTTAACGATGATCAAATTTATGATTCAATGAAATCTAAATTTAATAAAATTATTTGCATCGGACTTAGAAAAAATCTAGTTTAAATTCATTTTATTAGTATTTATTGAAAGTGTTTCTAGATAATTGAAAAGATTTATGCCAATTTATGATCCATAATTTGAAAAAAAAAAATTAAATTAAAAAAAAAAAAAACTATGCGTCACAGCGCAATTTTATAGCAGTCGTTGAACAGATGACGCAATTTTCGGTTTACGATTACAAATGTTCAACTCTCTAGCCTTGTAATTTTGAACCCAATCCGGAAGACAAGGGAACTTATGAATCAAGTATTGACCGAAATGTTCCTTTGCGGAGGACTTTTAAATGGAACTAACCCACACTTGCAAAGAAGACTACGAAAACATCCAGTGGTTAGTCTAACGGCAAAGGAACTCTAATCCATGAACCGTCTACCACTGAGGATATTTTACGACAATACAGTGGTTGGTGCGAGCCAGGTGTGCAATTCGCACTGATTAGTCATCGCTAGGATTCGAACCAGGTTCACCTCATTGGAGGGCTAACGCTCTATCCCCTGAGCCACCACATCTCTTTACAACACAATTTATTCAAATTCGGCCCTTGTGAATATATTTGCGAAAAAAAATTTTTTTCTTGTCTCTAGATCAAGAATCAGTAAATTAAATACGCAGCTGTGGTTTTAAATTAAATTCTCATTTTTCCAAATATAAAATATATGATCTAAAAAATTATTAATAATCAAATTTAAGTTTTATTTAAACCTAAGTATCATAAAAAATTTTATTAAAAAAAATATTCGAATTTCTATATTACTTTTTATGAGTAACCATAGATAATGAATAAGTTTTGCTTTAGTTAATGTGTAAAAAACTTGAAATATAACATAATTCATTTGAAACAAGATCTCCTGCATGAGAAATTACTAATTTAATAAAATTATTTAATTCAGAATAAGAAAAGAAAAAAAATCAAAAGCCCATTTTTCTTTTTGCTTTCATCGCAAATAATCAATAGGTATTTATTTATTTTTTTTTTAAGTTACTGGATATTCACTCAAATAATTCTTTATTGTGAATTTATTTAAATCAGGTTCACGTGAAAAAGATATGCAAAGTTAATATAATTTTTGATATTTGAATAAAATCAAATCAAATGCCCCTAATTATTTTTATAACAAGATATAATAATGGTTAATAAGGTTTATTTCACTTAATGACTAATCATGAAAAAATGTGCTTTAATAATAGATATTTAAAGCAGGTTCTCCTGAATAGGAAATATAAAGTTATTTTAATTGTTTATATAAGAATAAAATCAAATCAAAAGTTCATAATTATTTCATATAATAAGTGATCATTAATTAATAACAGTAACGGTTAATAACGTAGGATGGTTAATAATTAGATAGTCACGCAAATAAATATTTATTGTAATAGAATTTAATTAAATCAGTTTCTCGTGAATAAGAAATGCTAAGTCAATGAAATTGCTTATTTTGGAACAAAATCAAATCAAATGCCTCTAATTATTTTTATAATAAGTAATCATAAATAATTAATAAGGTTTATTTCAATTATGAATAATCATGTAAAAAACGTGTATTAATAACAGATATTTAAAGTAGGTTTTCCTGAATAATAAATATTATTTAACTTATTTATATTAGAACAAAATCTAGTCAAAAACTCGTAATTATTATCTATTGTAATAAGTGATCAGAAATAATTAAGTTTATGGACTATCGCGAACGATGGATAACACGCGATAATCACGCAAATAAATATTTATTACAATAGAATTTATTTAAATCGGGATCTCGTGGAATAAGAAATGTTATGTTAATAAATTGTTTAGATTAGAACAAAATCAAATAAAATTTTATAAGAAATTACTTATGATCACTTATTATTAATAAGTGGTGATAAATAATTAGTAATATTTCTTTATTTTTAGTATTTCATAATTATTTAATATTTCTAATAATGATTTAATTATTCTAATATTCTTTTAATGATGAAATATTTTTAATATTTCGTAATTATTTCTTGTAATAAGTTATCAGAAATAATTAATTAGGTTTAGGATAATCGCGTTAGATAGATAACAGTAGATAATTACGTAAATAAATATTTATTACAATAGAATTGATTTAAATCGGGATCTCGTAAATAAGAAATGTTAAGCAAATAAAACTGCTTAGATCAGAACAAAATCAAATTAAATGATATAAGAAATTATTTATGATCACTTATTTTTAATAAGTGATCATAAATAATTAGTAAGATTTATTTTAACGAATGGATAATTACGCTAAAAATAAATATTGCAAGAAAATTTATTCATAGCAGATTCGTCTGAAAATATATTTATAAATAACCACATCCATCATTTTGATCTCATCTTTAGATGAAGTGTCGGTAAAGTGACAGTAGAATTGAGATTTCAAATTAAACCCCATTTCCGGTGCGTTTTTCATCCCGATCTCAGCGTCGATTGCGGAAGTTGAAGATACGGTTCAAACCGTTCCGCACCTTCAGTTTGCCGTTATTCCAAACGTATTATCGCCAGGCGGAGGTGAAAGTCGCCAAAAGTGTTGTCAGCAGGGTTGCATTCGCCTTCGTGTGAGATCTGCTATTGGAGGAAAGAACATCAGATTTGGGTGGGCCACGCGAGTAGGTGGCCGCGGCAAAACATTTTTGGCGTTCGGAATATACAGCTCCTAGTGTGTGCGCTTTCTTATTTCTAAAACAGGCTTTCATCTAATCCGCGAACTTGACGAGTAATTTCGTGAATGATGTTTTTATTTTGATGACTTGCTACAATTCCGAACTTATTTGGCATGCGAGACCAGCCTCGCGTGTTTGTAATTCGAAGGATTAGTTTTGAAAACAAATATAGGAAGTTATTTAACCATAACAAAATGTAAGTTTTATTGCTGTTTTGTTTACTTTGTTCTCCTAAATTCTTGTTCGTTCTTTTTAGTTGGCAATTTTCTTTATCGAATTCCTTTATTATAAGTTTGTAATATATAATCATTGTACATTTTTTTTTAATATTATCTAGGTTTGATATGTATTTTGAATGGTTTTTAAAAATTAGTAATTTTTATTTTCTTAATGTTAAGGTTAGTAATTGTATGTATACTTTCATAGTTAAAATTTTGTCTGTGTAACATTACAGAGACCCCAACTACGGATTCTCCGTAGATTCTTCTCCAGAAAACATTTTTCTAAGTGGTAGCAAGGGTAATGCATTTATATTTTAATAAATTGGAATTAAAAGAATTTTACCCTCTACTAAAAGCAGATAAGGTTAAATAGGCAAATGCTTAGGTTCTGTTTTCTTTTTCTATTTAAAAATAATTGTTTCAAAAAATTTTGCTTTAGTTTCTACCATTGAAAAATCGTAACTGCCTTTAAAAGATGGAGTCTCTAACATTATAAAGATTTCTTTGCAACTTTAATTTTTGTAGGTTCAAATAATTTTGTCTCTGCATGTTACAATTTACTTTTTTGTGTGTTCGAAAGTCAATTTAAATAGCAATATAAAAACATCCGCGTTCTGATGTTTGTTCTTTACAAATTACAACTGAATTAATCTTCTGTAGATTCCAATAGTTTTTCTTTAAATTCCTCGCATGGAGTAAAATTTTATTTTTGTTCTTCATTTTTAATTATTAGTTACTATTTAATTTTTTTAGACAAATTACTTAGTAATATTATACATCAATATAAAAAAAATGTGTACGTTATAACATTTTACATGTATTTTGAAAGAAAAATTATTTTTTTCTTGAAAACTGTAATTTTAATAAATATTCTAACACTATATTTAATATTTTCGCAGTTTAAATTTTGTATAGCTTTATAGATTGTATTTTCTATACAAATTGCAACTAGTTAAAGCTTGTGTAAGTTCGAATAATTTTGCCTTTACAAATTGCAACGAATTTGAATATGTGTTGTTTGGAATAATTTACCCTTTACAAATTACAATTAATTTACTTCAGAGTCGCAAAATTTCATTAATTACAATGACTTTTGATATCAATTACAAAGTGGATTTCGATACTCCGTAAAAAATTTTGAATGTGATTACTTTTAAATGAAATTGTTTTTTTTCTAAATTAGTTTTTTATATGATCTAGTTTTATTTATGTTTGAAAATTTATTTAAAATACCGAAAATGAACGCTGTATTTTCTTCAAGCGTCTTAGACTTTCTTTTCTATATGTTCGATGATAGTGTTTCATATTGTTATGGAAAACGAAAATTTTTAGCTGGTTAATGGGAAACATGTTTTGATTTTTTATTTCAATTACTAGAGAAAGTTTTAGACATCTATTCATTGTGTTTACTTATTAATCTTAAAACTTAAGTAAAGGGTTGCTTTCTAGGTTTGATGGACACAGGCCCATTAATGTATACATAATGCAATCGTTCATGGTGTTTAAGTAATTTTGTTTAGATAAACACGGAATCCACGACCCGCAGTTATCTTTCCTCCCATGTTTTTGAGCTTACATGTTTGTCTTCCGAAATGCTAATTTGTTGGGTCATGTTCACAATAATTAAATGAAAACTACTACATTTGTTACACATACCGGGTGTTTAGATAAGAAGCGATAAAATTAGAGCATTAATATTTAAGATTTGAATTTGTAAAGATGTTAAAATGTAGAGAACTATTTAAACCAACGTTGAACAGCCGATCCCAATTTTTGAGTTTACGACTGCTAATGCTCAACTCTGTAGTCTTGTAATTTTGAATCCAATTTTGAAGACAAGGGAACTCTTGGATCAATTATTGGGAGAAATTTGCCTTCGCGGAGGACTTTTTGATGGAACTAACCAGCATTTGCGTTACATGTAGAGGAAAACCTCGAAATTTCCCGTGGGATTTTCAGCGGCTGGGACTTCTAACCCATGATCCGTCTACTACTGAGGATTTTTTACGTCAGCAGTGTGGTCGGTGCGATCAGAGTGCGGAGTTCGTATCAACCAGCCATTGTTGGGATTCGAACTCTGTTCACTTCATTCAAAAGCAAAGGCTCTACCACCTGAGCCACCACGACTCGTATAGAACTATTAAAAATATTTACTATACGTTGCTTCTAATTTTACCCTAATTAGGTAATGGTAGTAATTAGGTAATTTAGTAGAAGGTTAATGTACTCCAAAACAAGAATAGTTTATTTTTCTTAATGAATTTTTATTATCGTGTTTAAAATGATTTTCAAAGTGCGAAGGGGACTTATTTTTGATATTTCATTTGCACGGGATTTTTTTTTTAGTTCGAATATATAACAAGCTAGCTTTTCTTTTTAATTATAAAAGCTCTAAATTATTTTGACTGGGATTTTGAAAATACCTGTAAATTGTACATTCTATAGCGGTAGCGTCTTTTTTCCGACAAACAGCCGAGTTTTCTTGCGATTTGTCATCATAATCTGTGCTTAGCCCTTTCGAACCGACTGTCACAAATACGTGCCAGCATAAAACCGTATCAATCAGGGTAAAAAGATAAAACTGGTAATCAAAGTATTTCTTTAGCAGTTTATTTGTGGGCGGAGTTATAATTGTTTGATTTATTTAATTCACCATTACTTTGTTCAAAATAAAGCAATTAAATTATGCTTCGAATTAACATTGATTATATATATGATTAAACTAACAATAATTAAAGTAAAAGCAAAGTAAGTCTGTCAAATTAGCAATGACTACGTTTAAGTTACCGTTTTTTATTTAATTGCAACTTGATTCTGATTTTGTACGAAAGCTTTTCGGAATCACCCGTCCCCAAGGGGTTAAATGTACACTCTTTATTTTTCAATAAAATAATACTATTTTTGTAACGGAAAAATTCAAATTTTCAGGTTCCCATTCCTTTGCTTTGGCATCGCCATTGCTTAAACATTATTTTTTTAAAGGTAGAACTCAATTATTTTCAGTTAGAATGATTCAAACTTTAGTTCTGATGCAGGGAGTATGTACAAATTTCTGATACCTTAGTTGTCCAAAATTTGTTAATATATATCCAGTACTGCTGTCATAATGTGCTGGTCATTCTTCAACGCAATGATTGCTATTTGCTATCGTTAGTTCCATCAATCTAGTAGGAAAAAATCGTCTTCAACGAAGGAATGTATCAGAAAGTTAGTAATAGGAGAAACCGAAAAAATCGATCCATAATGCTGCATCATTGTATATCATGTCTGTTCAGAATGTCAAATAGAATTTTCTTGCATTACTATGTCATAGGAGAAAAATAAGTTATTGCTTTATGTACAATGTTTAGTATGCTGAAGGCAATTTCTGGTTTTATATGTCATCACGTTCAATTCTTACGTTAAAAAATCAAAATGCATCTTTGAATGTTTCCAAATGTAATGTGCCAAAAATTCTACAAAAGATGAAATGAGTTTTTTATTGCGCAAATAGTACAATAATACGTACAATAACTATATCATTATAGTTAATAACAATTGTTAGGATTAATTATAGCTTTTAATAAGTATTAGTCGATTAAAAAAGCTATTCTCCGTAAAAAAAATGTTCGGAGCGCAAATTAAAACAGACCGCTCTGAATAACTTTTGATCTAATGATCGGATTTTCTCGTTCTAGGACTCAATCTTAATGGTTCAAGGGGCTGACCTCAAATATGATAATTAAATAATAAAACATATATCTTAAGTTATGAAATCGGATACAAAAACGTACTTTCTCTGAATAAATATACAATTTTTTTGACGGATTAGGATTTTTGGTCCCCAAAATATAGGGCGTAGTCGCAATCTGAGAAATATGGTCCCAATAGTTTGGTCAGAAGAATGCTCCAAAGTTTGGACACTTTTATGTTAATTTTTCGTTTAGCGTATTTCGTTATATCTCAAGAACTTTTTAAGTGAATTTGAAAATGTTTACACAAAATTTTTAAAAATTCGTTTATCCAAAGATAATTCATGCTAAAAACTTTTAGTAATTATTTATAATTTATTATTTTATTTAAGAATGGTTAAAAAAAATTTGAATTGTGAGATGCTCAATTTTTGCATCATTTTAAAGGATGCAATACTACATGGCAAAACACCAAATTTGAGCAAAATTGGTCAAATAGTTCCTTAGAAATCAAATTTTAAGCATCTGACTTTTTTTGAATTCAATTTCTCACGAACTACTCGATCGATTTCTCTTCAATTTTGTATTTTGCCATGTAAAATTACATTCTTTAAAATGTTGCAAAATGTTTTCGGCCATTTCTAAATAATATAATAAAAAATATAATAGAAAATGTAATGAAAAATAATAAATATTTACTTAGTTATTGTTTACATATAATTATCTAAGAGTAAACTAATTTTATAATTGAGTGTAAATTTTTTTTCTCAATTCGCTTAAAAAGCTCACGAGATATAGCGAAATACGCAAAAAGTGTAAAATTAACGTTAAGGGGTCCAAACTTTGTAGCGCTCTCCTGACCAAACGATTGGAACCATATTTCCCAGATTGCGACCAGAAGTCCGAATTTGTCGAAAAATTACATACACAACAACTGCAACATTATGCACGTGATGAATTTAAAGAAATAAAATTGAAATAATTTGCTAAAACTTCGAAAAGAATAGTTTAAATTTTAAAAATCTAAAAAGAAAAATCTTAAATTACCTTGTATAAATTTTTTTTAGTAGAACAGAAAGCAAAGTGCAATTTTCCCTTTAAAATTGGCTAATAATTATTATTTATTTGTTAATATTATAATTCACTATAAAATTTATCTTTTTGCAATAATTTACTGAATTAACTTCTTTGATAATATGTAATTTATCTAGCTTTCTATTAGAATATGTTCGATACAAAATGAATTAATTTTTATATATTCGATAAAGAAGTTTCTTCTGTTAGTTCTTACACATCCTATTGAC